AAATAAATTCTATAAATAGAATTCCCATATTACCTGGTCAGATAGGAAAAACAATATGGTGATATATGATGGAAAGCATTTTGTGATACTGAACTTTTTACTTTTTTTAAGCTCTTCATACGGGGCGCCTGGGCGGCTCAGTCAGTTAAGCCTTGGACTCTTGATTTCAGCTCAGATCGTGATCTCAGAGTCATGAGATCGAGTTCTGCTTGGGGCTCTGCGCTCAGCGGGGAGTCTGCTTGAGATTCTCTCCCTCTGCCCCTCCCCTTGCTCATGTTTGTGCATGCTCTCTCTCTCAAATAAATAAATAAATCTTTAAGAAACAAAAAAACAAAATGAAACAAAAAACAACCCTCTTCATACATTTAGAATGCATGGACACCAGTTTCACATGATAATATGATCTATGTCAATGTGTAGCCAGAATTTATCTTATTAAAGGGAGAGAACAAAGCAAGAACATCGGGGCGCCTGGGTGGCTCAGATGGTTAAGCGTCTGCCTTCGGCTCAGGTCATGATCCCAGGGTCCTTGGGATCGGGTCCCGCATCAGGCTCCCTGCTCAGTGGGGAGCCTGCTTCTCCCTCTGCTTCTCTCTCTCTCTCTCTCTCTCTCTCTCTCTCTGTCTCTCATGAATAAATAAATAAAAATCTAAAAAAAAAAACAAGAACATCAACTCTCATCAGTTCTATTAATTTTATTTTTTCAGAGCTATTAGCTAAGAAAATTAGCCAAGAGAGATTAGTGGGATAAAATTGGAAAGAAGGGCATACGGTTAACACTATTGCCTCTGCTGTGTTATTGTTTTGTTGGTTTTCCAGTTTTACATATCCTCTTTCCTAATAAAGAGGGTTTTTTTTTTTTGAGAGAGAGATCATTATTTTTAAAAGAGGATCCCAGCCATTAGAATACTTCTATTTTTTTTTTTAATCCCTACGCAACATAGTAGGTCATTCCCAGCTCCTCTTGGCTGCCATTGTGTCCCATGGATCTTCTTTTAAAACTCAGAATTCTCCTCTCCATGTTCTAAATAAATGAGGTAGATGGTGTGTGGTGTGTGCGCGCGTGTGCACGCGCGCGCATAATGCCAGTTCTGGTTTAGCTACTATTAACATAGAGAATCAGACTACTGAGCAGTTATTTTCATTGCTTTTTAATATTCGTGACAGAAGGCAGGAAAAGAGTTTTTACAGCTTTGGTTTATTTAATACCATGATTGGGTTCTTCTGTTTCCCTCTGCACATCACTGAGAAGTTTCAAAGAATTGCATTGAGATTAGTCAAGCTCTATATACTCTCGTTCAAACAGTTTCTGTGATGTGTGAACACAAATTATTGGCACCAGATTCAGAATTTTTTTTACAAAAATCAAACACTGAATTTCAAGATGTGTGTAGATGAAGGAAATTATAGCTTTCCTATAAGAATTGGTTACATATAGAGGCACCGCAGTCGGTTGAACATCCAACTCTTGGTTTTGGCTCAGGTCATGATCTCTGAGGGTCGTGAGATTGAGCCCAGCTCTGTGCTCAGCTCGGATTCTGCTTGTGTTTCTCTCCCCCCTCCGTCTCCCCCTCCCTCCTGTGTGTGCACGCCGCGTGCACACACACACACACACACACACACACACTCTCTCTCTCTCTCTCTCAAATGTTTAAAAAAAACTTAAAGAATTGATTACATATAGAAATTTTTATTTTAACTGACTTTTTCTGATATAAGTGTAATTATAGAAAACAAACCCTTATGGACACATTATTTAGTGGACTGTAAATATCTCTGTTTTCAAATGTCCTTTTTTCTTAATAGTGTATTTTAAATATTTTGGCATGCCATTTTTTTTAGGAGCTTGCTTTTGAATAATTGCCTATTTTGCTATTGTATGAAGCTAACCAGAGTCTCTCCTTCTCTCAGTCTCCTTTACTTCCATCTCCTTTCTTTCTGTAGCTCCTTCCACTTTGCTCTCCTTTTGTCGTTCAGGGGAGAAAAATGAAGTATGCTTTTATTACATGGTTAAGTTTGCAAAGGGAAGTGTTCAGTTAAATGAGATTTTGCAGGTTTGGCAATACATGATATTTAGTAATTAGATGCTGTGTCTTTGGTTACGTATTTGTCTGTTGGGTTCTAAAGGGTAACCGCTCAGGGAAATTGGCCAAGCTGTATCAAGTGAATTTTTCTGGTGTGTAATGGCAAGTTACAGAGCATGTGATAAAAAGCCTTGCTGTGTTATTCGATATGAAAGCCACTAGCCTCATGTGGGCGTTTAAATTTGAATTAATAAAAATTAAATAAAATTAAAAATTTTAGTTCCTTAAGTAAACGAGCCACAGTTCAAGTGTTCAGTAGACACATGTGGCTAGTGACTAACCATGTTGGACAAGCAGGTACAGAACATTTTCAACATTACAAGGAGTTCTGTGGGACAACCTTGGGGTGAAGTTTGTATGTGTTACCTGTTTATTAGAATTTAAAAATCATTTTTGTTTTTAATTTTCTTCCTGGATATTATAAATGCTAATAAAAGTAATTTTGGAAACTGTGAACAGCTCAAAATTACTTAGAGTAATTTTTACTTTCCTATCAACTTAATATTTAAAATTATGTCCTGAAGTAAAACATGTATCAACATAGGGTTACCAGCATTTAGAAATTCTAGGAAAACATTTAAAAAAATTTTAAGATTTTAATTATTTGAGAGAGAGAGAGGGAGAATGAGAGGGAGAAGCTGACTCCCCGCTGAGCAGAGAGCCCGACGTGGGACTCGATCCCAGGACCCGGAGATCATGACCTGAGCCGAAGGCAGACGCTTAACCGACTGAAACACCCTGGTGCCCCTAAAAATTCTTGATATGATACAAAGTCTCAAGGTGGGCAGGGTAGAGGTACGCTCTCAAATCCCTTGGGTGAAGATCTAAAGAAGATGATGTGGAAAGAGGGGCTCTTTTTTTTTTTTTTTTTTTTAAAGATACTCAGAAGAAGCAAATGAAGCAGAGAGATAATGTATTTATTTAGGGATATAATTTTAAGTTGTAATTACAATATGGTCTCGATATAAATTAATCTGGAAAAGTTAAGAAATGTTGGAAAGAAAAAATACAGGGAGGGGTGGAGAGGAGCCATCCCTAATCCTGCAGCCATTGGAAATAGCCAGTGGTACTTGTCGTGTATCTGCGCAGCGTCCTCTCTGTGCTGTTCATCCAGCAGTGAATGAGGTCAGTGAGGGAGGCAGCCGAGATGTTAATCTGAGAGGCGGGCATAGGGAGTGAGGAAGAACTCTGACATTGAACCAGGTGGCCTGAGTTTTAAGTCTCAGCTCGACTGCTTCTGTCTGTGGGACCATAGCAAGTTATTTATTTAACTTCTGTGTATCTGCTTATCTGTAAGATGGGATGATGGTGCCATCTGCCTCTTAATATTCTTGTGAGGGTTAAGGGATTAAAATACTAAACTCACTGAAGACTATATTACTGATAGTACCGATCACTATTTTTTTTTTCTGGTCACTATTATGGAGGGAATACAGACCCATGGTAAGTACCTAATAAGTATGAGCCTCTATATTTACTGTTGGAGGGAACCAGATGTCGACACAAGAAAGCTAGATGAGTTGTATGAGAGGCTAAGCTCAGTATTCTATGATAGTATTTGTTGAGGTGACCTAATTTTTGATAAAGACTCAAGGCAAAATTAATTTAGCTCTTAGGTTGGATGGTTTTGTTTTAAATTATACTTTTAATAGTTTCGCACATCAAATCTTGCTCCTTGCTTGTGTTCTTAAAAGTTTGTTTATTACCCTACTGTGATTAATGTTTGAAGGTTCCAAGATTTTAAATAAAAATGTGGCCCTGATAATTCTGGTAATATCATAAGTGTCAAAATTCTTTCCCTGATACTTTGCATTGTGGGCCAGGTTGCCAAAAAGGTAATAGAATCCTCTCTTAGCAATAGCATCTGGCTAATCAAAATAAAATCTATCTTCCAGACTTTTTACAGGAGAGTTTGGTTAGCTTTGAGTCTAATTAAAGAGTCGATTACTTGATACCTATGAGTGTATTACTTGATACCTATTAAAAACTGGAAATTCTGAGATGTCACTGTTTTTTTTTATATATAGTGGGGGGTAATTTCTTCAACTATAAATAAGAGGTTCAAATAAGTTTTCAAGTATAACATTTTAAGGGCACCTGTGTGGGAGCTGAAATGGATAGAACTTAAGAGCCAACAGTTTTGCATTTGTCAAAGCGTCTTGCATTTCTTAATGACAATACTAGATTTTTTAAGGAACTCAGTTTGTCTTATAATGCACTAAAATAGATTCTTGCCTTTGTGGTTTTGGGGGGAATGGTGGGAAAGGAAGGAGCAAGTTATTATTTGATAATATAATTTTACCTGTTTTACAGTACAGAAAATTATGTCATCAAAACAGTTATGAGAAATGTCTCTATGAGCAATCCCTTTGCTTCTTAGAAGTTTGAATTTGGGGGGGAAAGGTTGACAATTTAGGGGGAGGAAAAAAAGCCTAAAAGGAACAGCATGCTGGGCAGGGTGTTCTATTCCTGTAGTGCGCCATGTTCCCGTGTTCTTAGTGGTGATCACATACCAACCGGTCAGGATGCGGCTGCTGGCTTATCACTTTGCTTTAATCATTATTTATGTGTTTAGCAAGAATATAAACTACGACCGATAAAGTATTGAAGCCATATGTTTTAGAAATGACAGATTTTATAAAACTAACATAATTATTCAGGGGAAAAACAAAGGTTTAGCTCTTATGTGGGCTCTATTTGATAACGATCCTCCCCCCCCCATTTGACATCACATTAGAAACACTGGACCATAGGTGAATTACACATGCAGGTTTGTCTTCTGTAGGTTTATAATAACGTAGAATTTTTGTTTGAAGGTTTAGTGGATCAGTTTCTGTACGCAGCGATAAAAATCTTCAAATATCTCACTGTTTGCTAGCAGGTGAACTTATATTCATTCACTTGTGTTTCTTCCAGATTCATGAAAAACTCCACTACTATGAGAAGCAGAACCCCGTGCCCATCCTCCACGGTGCAGCTGTCTTGGCCGATGATGTAAGTGTGCCTTTCGGAGCTCCCTGGGACCCTGCGCCTTCGTGAGCCTGGCCTGGGGCAGAGCTCATCCTGCCCCAGATGACAGATGCGTGCGATACTAGGAGCGAAAACCAGGAGAAGCTGCAAATGTTTCACAAAGTCCTGTCATCACGGAGCTTATGCAGATACTATGCTGATCTTCATTCACTTTCCTGCTCTAAAATTTTTGCCTGGACATAACCCCCTCGTTCTACCTTGGTAACTGCGTACCAGAACTTTTAGCTTCTAACTCTCCGGGGAGAGAGAGAGAAGCTGTCAACTAGTGGAGTTCTGAGAAAGTCACAGGCAGGAGGAATGCTTTGGAGAAATAAAGACAAATGAGATAGGTCTATCGCTGACAGTGCTAAAAAATGACAGATACTAGAATAGGAACGAGGCCTTATGAAATACATAAAAAGACAGGATTGTTTTTAAAATGGGTTATAAAGCATAGTAATGATTTATGGATATCAGACCTCTCCAAATTACCTTCATAACCAAAAAATAAATTTTTGCAGCAGTTGGCATTGATGGAGTAGTTAATTTCCTGTAGCTATAATTTTATTTTCGATCTGGGGGAGGGAACTACCTTGCTGTTTCTTACTGTTAACTTTTAAACTTGGATGAATTGAAAGCACACCTGGATAAACTATAAAGGACGCTAAGCCAGACGAGAAATAGGTCTTGTGTGAAGGCGGGTTTTAGCGATATCCTGTAGCTTATCTGTTGCTTTTTGAAGTTTTTGCTCGGTTACGATAAAACAAGCCATCGTTCAGTTTAGTAAAATATCGGGGCCATAGAATAAAAAAAAAAAAACAAAAAACTGACCATCTTCAGAAGTTGATTTTCTTATATATATGTTCTCTATTTTAATTTAGATAATAAAGCGCATGTAATAAATCTCCAAGTGGTTTGCTATTTGTTTAGTCCTCAGTCTCCCTTCCAGTTTTATCCACAGAGATTAGATTATAGGGATGTTTCGGTTTCCGTGTTTTATGAGGAAGCTTACTCCTCTGCCTTAATAGAACCAAAATTTTTGAAGTGAAGGTGAGCAAAGATGTAGAGAGAATTCTAGTAAGCTGCAGTTGGCACTTGAGAAAGTCTTAAAAATCACTTTAAAAACATTTACTGTTGAGGGTTTGGGGAAATATTTGTCACTCTCCAATGTGGTTGAGGCCCAATCATATTATGACAATAATGCTTTTTAAAAGAATTAGAGACTTACGTAAGTAGGGTAAAATGTAGCATTTTCTAATTCATCAGAGCAATATATGTGAATTTTAAAAATATTGTTACAAAGTGCCTAGAGAATGCAGAGAGCCTTTTGTGACTTTTTTGAGTTAACAGTTATTTATGATTATTTTACCTCGAAAAACAAAAATTTTACCTTGAAAAAGTAAAATCACTTTTTGCAATGTAACAAATGAATATATCAGTTTTATCAGGTTTTATTTTTGTGTATAATTTATATGATGTCCTTCTTTTAGAGAAAAGTCCTTTTCCAGAGATAAGAACAATTATTTTTAGCTTGGTAGAAACAATAGGAGCAAAGAGAAATTTCATGCAGTGTTTTAAGAAGGGTTTTTAAATGAAAATATATGTACGTATTTTGAATTCTGTACTGTGTATTTATTTCACAATTGTAATTTCTTTTTCTACTTGGTCTTGCTTTTCTTCTTAGGAAATTATATGATCCTTACTATAGACTAAAATGGAATAGAGTGTTGATGGGAAGATCTCTTTTGAAGAACATGAGGCGTGTTAAAAGTTCCAGCCCTTTCTTTAGCTAGAACCAGCAAATGGGAATTCTTGATTGTTATAGTAGAATATAGTCAGCATTTCTGTTCCCAGAGTACTTGTCAACCTATTGTAAGTCATTCTATGATTAACTTGGTTTATACTTAACGGATTTTTTTAGTCTGTGTAGGTAAACATAATAAAAGTTTCAGACTCCATTGGCTCTATTAGAGACATTCTAGTTCTTTTTCCTCCAGCTCTAAACAGCAAGCTACTGTGGGTTTTTGGAAACCTTGTGAATTTCACCACCTCATTCAGAAACTTTTTTTTTTTTCATTTTTTTCTTTCTCTTTCTTTCTCTCTCTCTTTAAAAGTAGTGTCAAAGCCTGATCCAATCCTTTTTACAAGTGGTCCTTTGTTTGCATGTAAAAGGCTGTTCCTTAAGATGAAGCGCTGGGGTTTGCCCTTATTGCAATAAATCAGAGAAGGTGATCTGGCTGGTGGGGTTTTTTGAGTTATACTCAGCCAAGATCCTGGGCTGGGATCTGGGCTACCAGGGGCCTGAAAAGAGGAGCAATGATTGATGGTCTGTTTTCTTTCATATGCTGACTGCTTAATCACTGGAGAGTGGCAAGGTAGATTCTCAGTTGTCACACGTGGAGCCACACAATGCTCTTACTAAATGTTCTGTCAATGTGCTCTCCCTTGCAGTTGGCTGAAGAGCTTCAGAACAAGCCATTAAACAGTGAGACCAGAGAGCTGTTGAAACTACTGTCAAAACCCAACGTGAAGGTGAGGACGTGTAATAAATATCTTCCAGAGGGGCTACTTTCTGAGACTTCAGATGAATTTTATTTTGAGCATCAGTTTTCAAGTGAATGTATTTTCAAATAGTGTGCAGTATTTTCATAACCCAAATTCCATTAAGGAAGACAAGTTGAGCTTTTGATGATAATGTGACCAACTACAGAATACTGTAATTGGGAAGCTCAGGATTTAAGTCAGTGAATATAATGTCACCTCAAGGTCAGTTTCTTTTTAAACGAACGTAAGAGTACAGAATACAGAACCTACTAGTGATTTTGTTTAGGCTCATTTTACTTGGTTAGTGAATGGTATTCCAATATATTTGACAGCTATATCTACTTTTTTATAGGATCATTTCAGCTTTCCTCTTTCCCCTCCCTCGTTGTCTTCCCCATCTCCTCTCCCTCTACTGATTCATGTGTTAATATATATTACCATTTTACAGAGAAGAGCAGTTTCCCAGTGTAAAATGCTAGTAAAATACCAGTAGGCAGATTCCAATTCTCCTTGCCGTTTTTTTTATTGAAGAATAGTTGACGTAACAATATTGTATTAGTTTCAGGTGTACAACATAGTGATCTGATATTTATATACATTACAAGATGGTCACCACAATTAGTCTAGTTACTATCTGTCGCCATACAAAGTTGTTACAATATTATTGACTATATTTCCTCTGTGGTATATTACATTCCTGCGTCTTATTTATTTTATAACCGAAAGATTGTATCTCTTAATCTTCTTCACCTATTTGACTCCTTCCCTTACCATTTTTCTTCCAGGTATATCATTTATCTTTCCTCCAAAGGTGCTTGGTCAACAGAAGTCATTTCAAAAATGTCCTGTTAATTCTAAGGTCATTAATGCACTATATCCTATAACCTGCACATTTTGGACTTGATACTGCTGCAATTACATGTGAAGTATTATCCATGAGTCATAATTACATGTAGATTATGTAATTAAAATGATCAGTTACCTTTTTTTTTTGTAAAGATTTATTTGAGAGAGTGCAAGTGGGAGGGAGGGGCAGAGGGAGAGGGAGAATCTCAAGCAGACTCCCTGCTGAGTGTGGAGCCCAACATGGGGCTCGATCTCACAACCCTGAGATCATGAGCTGAGTTGAAACCACGAGTTGGATACTCAACTGACTGAGCCACCCAGGTTGCCCCAAAATGATCAGTTACCTTATGATGATTTCTATTAAGCATATGTAGGGTATCAGATGAATATTTCTGCCTAGATGCAAAAATTGATTTCTACCTTCCTTGAAAAATCTCCTTTGCTATAATAGTCTTAAATTGATGGTCAGGAAAGATAGTATTAAATAAAAGATGAGGTGAAAACATGTACAAGCTATAATTCCTAATCCTTAGAAGTAAAGTAAACGCTGTCAAGAATCAGTGGATTATAATTAGTAATTTAGAGTAGTTGACTTATCCTGGTACAGAGGAGATTGGTTGAATTTTAGTTCTAAAAGAATAAGCATCAGCTTAGAGCAAAATAGTCCCTTGAAATTAAAGACAGAGTATGTAGAAAGGTTAAAGACAAGTCTCAGAGTAAGATTCATAGGGAGAAAAAGTTCTGAAATGTCTTCATTTTGGTCTCAGAGTACACATGCAAAGTTAATATGAACCAAAGAAAGGTGAGGTCAGCTGTGAGCAACTTGTTAAACTCCTTGTTGAGAGTGCTATCTTGATTTGAGTATTAGAAACTGAAGAAGAATGTTACCAACAAAAAACAATGACATGATTTTGGTATTCTTTTGAAGAGTGTTTGGAATGGAATAGCTAATAAAGAAGAGATTGATGATACTGGATGGAAACTGGTATTTGGCTCGAGAGGGAGGTTATGATTTTAGATGGTATTCAGCACCATTGGAGACAACCTTATAATTAAATCCTGGAACTTTGTTACGGTGAAAATATTTTAGACGAATACTTTTTAAATTTTGTATGTTTATATAGCCCTGTGCTAAGAGAATGGGTGAGAAGTCAGCATGAAAGATGTATTTTCAGGAAGCGATGTGTGGGAAGTGGGTGGGATTGCAGACGCAAGATGTCTCAGTTGGCAATGGCCGTTTCTAGTGAGCCTGTCCTGGGGGGAAGAATCTTTCTTCCCTTTATGACCTAACATTTAACATTGCTTTCCTTGAAATCAATTACATTAACTACCATCAATTTGAATTTCACTTCTTTTTAGGTAATTACTTTAAGAAATCATTTAGTAAACTTAAAATATTTTCTTTCTTTTTTTTTTTTTTTAAAGCAGAAGCAAGGTACAGTAGAATGACAGGTATACATGAATTATAAGTTGAACTGACAGTTTAAATATGAAAAGTATTACTCCAGGGTGTGAATTTGAATACTGTTTTTTAATTTTTAGTGGAGAAGGGAAGTAATTATTCGCTTGTTGAAGAGGGCTGTTTCATTTAAAATATTTAGTTCACAGTAGTGAAAAGAAACCTCAGGTGCACCTCCAAAGTAATAATGAGTTTTGTAAACACACACAGATAATATACAGCCAAATATATAGCCACTATGAGAAGGATAATACTTGTATCCCACAGATCTGCCAATTCCTTTTTGAAAAGTCTTAAAACTTTCTCTGGTTATTTGTGTCACTAGAGTCAGATCTTCATTCATTCTCAAATGTCCAGTGCCTACTGTGTGCCAGGCCCTGTAGATACAACTTGCAGAAGACTCGTGAAGGTTAATGAAGCTGACAGGAGAAATACTGGGTAAAAGAACACATGAAATACTGTGGAGGGAGTGCCTGGGTGGCTCAGTTGGTTAAATGTCTGAATCTTGGTTTCAGCTCAGGTCATGGTCTTGGGGTGGTAAGCGTGGAGCCTGCTTGGGATTCTCTCTGTTCCTCTCCCTCCGCCCCTCCCCTGCTTCACGCTTTCTCTCTTTCTCTCTCTAAAATAAATAGATAAAATCTTAAAACAAAACAAAACAAAACACCATGGAAATCAGAGGAGGGATGCTAAATCTAAATTTGGGGAGGGAGGAAGGAGTGAGGGAAGGGTTGAAAACTTGCCAGAGGAAGTGGCATATAAATTGAGCCCTGAAGATTGAGTTTGAGGTAACCAAAAGAAGGAATAGGAGAGTCAAGTTGAGGTGGGATGTGAAAATAGATTTTTTTTGAAAGATGTATTTATTTTAGGCAGAGAGAGGGTGGGGGGAGGGGCAGGAGAGAGAGACTCCCACTGAGCAGTGAGCTGAACTCGGGGCTTGATCTCACAACCCTGAGAGTGTGACCTGAACCAAAATCAAGAGTCAGATGCTTAACCGACTGAGACACCCAGAGGCCTCTGAAAATAGGTATTTTAAATAAGGTGAATAGTATGTGAATCCTCTTAAAGGAAATAACTTGTCCAGTTTGAGGATGAAAATAAGTTCAGTGTTGGTTGAACAGTAGCTTGTGGAAGAGGAAGGGGCAGGAGTTCAGAGCTAGACAGGGGATCTTTTGAGTAGGGGGGCCATGTACATCCTGGTTTGCCCAAGAACAGTCTGGTTTGTGCCTGTAGTTCCAGCATGATTATTAATAGCCTCCTTTCCATTTCAGTTGTTTCCTTCTTTAGAGGATAAATTATAGGGCCACCCTTATTGTGAGCATATTAAAAAGTTTGGATTTCATCCTAAGAGCAGTGGAAAGTCATTGAAAGGATTTAAATCGGCAAGTGACACAGTTGCTCTAGTATACAGATTCTTGGAATGGTGGGGTGGTGGTCGGATGGGAGGAGTGGATGCTGAATGGAGGAAGGCCAGCTGGAAGCCTGTGGAAGTAACTCAGGGGAAACATGATTAAGGCCTTAGTGAGGGCTGTGAGGGATGGATGGAAGTGGGGGATGGGTGGAACTGGACAGAGCTTCAATACATGGTATTGGCACAAGTGGTTAATTATTGGGAAAAATAATATAACCAAATATAATGCATATTATGTGTAATACACAATGAATTCCAAATAAATGAAAGATGTGAGTATAAAAAATTGAACCATAATCATGGGATAGAGAAGAAACACTCACAATCTCAGGAACAGATAGACAGACACACATAGGAAAAGTAAAAGAGAAAATCCATGAATGTGGTTAGAAGGAATAATTTATTTATATAAACAGTCTACATTTGTCTTTAATAAAGTTGTGATAATTTATTACTTTGACTTTAATTTTACTTTTTACAAAGGGACTTGATAAAGACTTTTGAAAGTAAACAGGAAATTTTTTTGATAATGTGTAATTGCATTTTTAATTCAGACTATGGAGAAAGTAGAAGTCCCTGTCTTCATTGCTCTATTTGTGAAGATGAACATCATTCCATATGTTTAATGACTTTCTATTTTGTCTGTGAAGTGTGTGTTCATATACCTTTTAGGGATAACTACTGTTCATTGGCTGCATTATTTTTCCTTTTTGCATACAGAAATATTACCTATACATTTTTTCTTTCAAGATTTATTTATTTAGGGGCACCTGGGTGGCTTAGTCGGTTAGGTATCTGCCTTCGGCTTGGGTCATGGTCCCAGGGTCCTGGGATTGAGCTCCGTTTTGGGCTCCTGCCTCTTCCTCTTCCCTCCCCCTGCTTGTGCTCTCTCTCTCTCTCAAAAAAAAAAAAAAAAAAAAAAAAAAGAATTACTTGAGAGATAGAGAGTGGGGGGGTAAGGGCAGAAGGGGGAGGGAGAGAGAGAATCTCAAGCAGACTCCCTACTGAGCATGGAGCCCAACTCGGGGCTTGATCCCACAACCCTGAGATCATGACCCGAGCTGAAATCAAGAGTTGGACGCTTAACCAACTTTGCCACCCAGGCGCGCCTACATTTTTTCCATTATAAATAGAATGCACTATTTTTCTGTTTTGTTTTGTGGACTTTTAACATTTTGATATTTTGTGGACTTGTCTTTGGAGCAACGTAATTGTCCACTTCTAAGAGATAAGTTAGATAACTTTGCTTTTTTTGCTTTTTATAATGCATATCTC